CAGAGATAGGATATTCTCTCACATTGAATGCGTAGAATTTTGGGACGGAAATTTCTATACACTGTCGCTGCATTAAGGAACAGTTGACAGTTCAAGCAAATATCTTAGCCACTAATAGTGTTCCTCATAGTGGGGTTTGCGGGTTTTGTGAATTGCTTGTAGAGCATAAGAATATGTCTCGAAGACCACGCAACTGATGAACATTCTTGATCAGCCCAAATAACGGAACGCATTGCGGAACGAACTTACAAGTCGTTCGTCCCTCTTTTCCAAGTTGCTATTATTCAATATTGCAAAATATTGTCCAGAGAGATAGCTTAGGCTCAAATGTCAGATTACAAAACAAAAAGGACGACTTCTCCAATTTTCTATATTACGATTTCGAAATCTTACACTGCTTAATTGAGAACTCGAAACTTAGTTTCCTCAATCAAAACCCAATGAAGACGAATTGTGGCAATTAGGTTAAGCAATAAGCAAATCTGGCTTTCCATTTTACACCTGGCCAGAAAAATCGCATGAAACTACAAATTGAAGTGCATACGTTAAGGGCAAAACGAGCTACGATCCGGAAAAGAGGCGTAATTTTCCCTTCGTCCCGGCTAAAGCCAGGATTAGAATATAAATTTTTCTTCATTAAAATTTCTGATATATTTGCCGATTAATTGAACTGGGAGACACAAGAATCCTCCCAGAATTATCAGAATATCAGAAGTATCACGTAACAGTATGAAAAAAAGTTAAAACGTTTTGGTTAGACAAGGTCGACTATTAAATAAATGATTATTACTTCGCGTGATAAAAATTGCTTGCCAGTCCCTCATAAAATATCAAAACAAATATCCTATCGTTATGTAAACGCGTGCTTGATTTTTATTATAGAATCGTTAGCTAGCTAAATAACGGTGCAGAGAGGCAATAGTTTAACAGATATATTCGCTTCCTGTTAAGACATTGTTGTGTCTCAAGTATGCGCGTCAAGCAAAATTAGTTCAGAAAATTGTTTACTTTTAAGTTTCAAATAAAAAAAAAAAAAAAAAAAAAAAGAAAAAGAGAGTTTAAAATATGTTTCCATTAAGATCTTTTTTTTTTTTATTTTAATTGCTTCTCAACTTACTTAGTCTGCCGAAACTGTGTGACAGCCTCTTTTTAAGTTTTTGCAACGCACCGCCTTTCTTCTCACGCATTGTTACGCCTGCAAATAGAAGTAGAAAAAGATGGAGAGAGATGAAGAGAAAGAAAAAGAAAAGGAAGAATAGAACACACAAACGATTAGTATTGTTATTGTTTATCTCTGTAAATTTAAAATTTTGAGAACACACCATTAAAAATAATGTGTTCCAAGTTTATTGTAATCAAATACGAAACACATAATACACAAAAGCAAAAAAAAAAAAAAAAAAAAAGAAGGCGATTTCCAAATCATTTAAAAGAGCATAAAAACAATATATATATATATTTACACTTAACATACATACATTTATACATACATATGTAGAGAATAGTAAGCAAAAGCATTTAATTTCAAAAGAAAATACAATTTTTCCGCGTGCTTTTTATATTCTTGTTGTATATGTTGTTTTTGTTGTATTTATCTATATATAAATCAACGTTTTCATTGTGCTGCTTGTTAATAGAAAAACAAATCCGATAAACAGAAATGTTTTACAAGATTTGCTAAAGAATTAACGCGTAGTGATTATAACTTTTAAGGGAGAGCGGACGTTATGTGTACGAAGTATGCGGAGAATGTAAGAAAGCAGGGAAAAATTTCGATTTTCTTCCGCTTCGCATCTCCTCTCGAATCAATTCAAACAAAACGTATAATAACTTTGACGTTCAAAACGTGACTTTAATACGCAAACAAGCTGACACATAGCCTAATATAAACGTTAAAAACGCTATGATGAAAAGAAAAGAAGTAGCAACAAATAAAACTAAATACAAATGATTTCAGGAAACTTTTATAAAGTAAAGTAAGAAATGCTCTGTTGGAAAATGGTCGTACACACGCACACACGCACATACGCTTTTACAGTGAAATATGAGTATTTTAACTAAAAGAAAAATTTAACAAAACAATTTTCCCTTTTTGAATAGATGGAAAAGAAGACCGAAAAAGTGAAAGAGAGGGAGAGAGAGAGAGAGAGATGGAAAGTGTAATAGCAATAGGATTTTCAAATATGTAAATTTCTGTTGTTGCCGTTGTTGTTGCACTGTGGCACTATATCGTTATGAATATAAAACTTTAGGCTAAAGTTTCAAGTATCTGCTAAGATCTATTCATCAACCGCTACTATAGCGAAGAGACAATGGAATTGCGCAAAACGCAACAACTACTGATTATTTAATATGAGAGTGATAACGATGATGTCGATTGTAGTAGCGCTGATTATGAACACTAGCGCTGAAATGGCGGATAAATGATGACGATAATGATGAGTTGATTTTATTGTTCACGCATCCATTCAAACTATTATAAATTAAGACAAGACAAGTAAGTCTTTATTTTTATATTGTTGTGTGACGGACGAAGTTTTTACTTGATTCATATGAACGCAGCTTATTACATTTGTACGAATCTTACTCTCCCCTCTGCTGCCCAAATTCTTTAATTCTTTGTTTAATATAACTTATGATCTGATTACGTTACATATTATTCATTAAAAGAATAAATAAATTTATACTTGAATTATTACTTCCGTCCCTACTACTGGCTTTAATACCATTAGTGCTGGAAGAGGGTATTTACTTACTATATTTGTCATTTACTAAACTTCATAAAGCAAAGTACACGTACTCATCACACTTTGACAATATGATATTCAGCCATGCTTATCGGTACGGCCTTCTGTTTGCCTTTCACAGCTTGATCACTTACGGATGCGGAAAAGGTAAGAGTATGACTGATTGTTAAAAGCATTCGCACAAGGCGGCAGTGTTTTTTAATACAAAATTCGATATCTTGGTACGATAACTTGAAAATAGAGCTGAAGTGCCTTAAAATTCACCCATTCATCAATTAAATCCATACATGATTTCCTACCGAATTTTCGACTTACGCCATTACAGCTATTGTCAGGCTTAGGTGTGAGATGTTGAGCGGAAAGTTTAATTGTTTTATTAAGATGGCGCAACCTTCCTTATTCTTTACCTATAATCTTTCCTAACCAGCGCAGCACATCGCCTTCATATAGAGAGGATTAATTCGTTCAAGAAAAGCAAAAAAAAAAAAAAGAAGAAAAACTTCACAGTCTTGCTTGACTTGTCCTCTGATAATTGAGGAAAACACAATATTTATCGAGCATATAACCGATGTCAACCTCTGATCAGTCTAGAATAAGATCTAAATCTAAAATTACATACGAACAGTTTTAGTGCAAATAACTCAAAATGTAAATGATTCAATTAATCAATCACATCAATCTTCTACAAAGCAAGACCTTAAATGTGTGTAAGGGATATACGTCTGCTATATAAATGAATACATCGTAATCCGTATACATTCTCATCATTAGTTCAAACGGGCGTATTCATTTAATTTATTACATTAAATATAAATTTATTAATTTTACAAAAATTGTACTACATATATATATATGCATACATATATATATAAGGTTATGCTTTAATTCTCTGTAGGTATTGTATGTGCGTATATATGGGAGTATTTTATTAATAAATTATTGAGAAAAACAAACAACAAAAAAATATGTATATAGCAGGAAAATATTGTACAAGAGATATACGTATATGTGTGCACACAATTTCATTAAACCTTTCTTTCTGCGGATTTTTGCAGTACTTCAGTCACGCAATCATCCGGCAGCACGAGTATTTCAGCGGCTTTAAATATACATTTAAAATGAGTAAAATGTGGTCTGAAGTTATGCCACTGTCCTTTTTCGGTTGCGCTGCTCTACATATATCGGAGATTGAGTTGAGTGGTAGGTAAGCAAAGTTTGTTTTTATTTTTCATTCGCGGCAAGCTTATCATTGCCCTTTCTGTCAACTGGGCTGCGGTGACGGTGGTGACAGTTATTGTTGTCTTTCATTTATAATTAAAATTAATATTACATTTATGTAAATTGTATATTAAGCCACGACAAATGAAGGGAGATATGTATTAAAATATTGAAAAGAAAAACAGATAAATTTAATAATCGGCACAAGCCGAAATACTAGAAACTTATCGACTTTAATAGTAATAGAAATTTACCTTAACTTCTTACTTTAAATTCCTCGATAGCAGAAATCCACTTTACACACAGAGAGAGGGAGAGAGAGAGAGAGATATTTTATTAATATCTAAATGCACTTTAATTAGATATAGAAGGTTAAAAGATATAGTAATCGATATGCAAGGTCTGTTATCATGAATTTCATCTACTACGAAGTCCAATTCAGGCGCCCTAAGAGCCTTACCAATGCAAGGTATTCTTTAATATTTTTAATAACTAATCGGCCGACAATAGAAAAATATTAACTAAAAGTAGTTCGTTTAGCTTCTGGTCTCGATTTAATTAATTCACACTCTATAGCTAGTAGTGTAGGTGTATAATTTTAAAATAATTTAGGCTTTCATAAGCCGCATGACGTCGCAAGGATGAAAAGGATGAAAAAATCAATCATATTAGGAGGGAAGACAATCATTATTGCTTGGAAACTTTTCGCTCTATCTTACGCTAATGTGACATAATACAAGTTCAAGTTATTAAATTCGCAAATGATGATTCCCAACATGCTATTATAATTATGTTATTCAATTAATTTGTAAAAGCAAACACTGGGAAATATTAATGAAAGTCGTAAACACAAGAAATCAAACAGGATGAAAAAAATAAATAGCAAATTGAAAGAGAAATCGAAACGAATCTTGGACACACCACCTCCAAATGGTTGGGACTGATCCTCTAAGCTTTAAGTCGTAGCCTTCTGAAAAAGTTTTCCGATAAGCAAGATTTTGGAATTACACATGTATATACTAGTTAATGTATTCAGGTTACATTGCAACTCGTTTGTAGACGGTATAGAGAGAAAACACTACACAAAAACCAGCCCATCCGCTCACCATTCGCAGTTTTTCTAGCAATTAACTACACTTTCACATCAAAATTGTTGCTTACTTGGCTTCTCCGAAAGTTTCACACCTAAAAGTTACGGAAATTTCCAAATCATATTAAGAAATGGTCCTGACGGTATATCATAGTTAAAGAACTGAAACAATCTCGAAGAAGAGAGACGAGAAGTTAGAAAAAATGTCATTTGGTAGTCATCTACGTCCTAAGAGCAAATAATTATAAGATAGATTTATAAATTCAACGATCGTCTATTGACTATATTCAAATCCGAATAAAACAAAAACTTCCCCATGACACGTATGTGAAATTCATGCTAAGAAAGGAAAACAATTTACAGGTCGCACATGTCGAAAAACAAATGCACTCACAACCTGTCACTGTCTGATGGGGATTTCGGACTGCAGCCGTCATTGGAACCTACTTTTTCGAGAACTTTTAAGAGTGGTCGAGCAATGAACGTTAGTGGTGTTCGATAACCCCATTCTTTCTGCCTAAATTGAATAATATTGAACCAGTTGGTGTCCCATGCCATACACACCGTGAAACAGATAATGTCAGGTGTCTCTCAAGGCAACCACTTAGAGCCTTTTCTATTCATTCTATACATCAATAATCTCTCTCCGGTGATTAAATCTCTGTTTCAGTAAAGCTAGGTCGGCGCTACGTTTCATTATCATCCTTACATTACATAAACGCTGTACATGAACTTAGTCAGACCAATACTTGAGTATGCCTCTCTTGTGTAGGCTCGCCATGCCTATAGGACTCAAGTAAATTCAATAGAATCCGTTTCAAAGCAGTTTTTGCTCTTTGCCCTTGGGAAATTGATCCGCTTGTACCTTGGCTTCCTTATGAAAATATATTGCTTCTGTTAGCCTTAGCGTCACTTGAGAAATATCTATTTATTCTTAGTGTTTCCTCCCTAATTAAGCTAACCCGTTGACGTGAATGAACTCTATAGACGTCCATTGTGTACATGTAGATGCACACGACGTCTGCAGCAGTCCTATATTCTCCGCATTAGAAAACAAAACAAAGGAGTGTGTTTTCATTTAAAGTTAAAAAAAAAAAAAAAACTATGTTTTCAGGTTACTCCGAATCTCGTAATATCCGG